AGGGATGGTCTCATATCTATAGCGTACCGCGCTACGGTACAGTACCGTATCTAGTTTCGTTATGGTACGGAAATGGGACAGTCTTTGGTGCGCGCCAGCAACGTACAGTACAGGCTACGCGCATCGAAACTGGGCTCGCTATCGGTTTCCTGTATCGAATCTGTAGCTTTGTTGCGGTATCGCTGTACTTGCGTCTCATTGCTTCGATCGCATCTTGCCGCGCATAACGTTTTCTGTACAAGCACCTATCAGTCCGTAAGTTCTCGCTTTCTAACGTCGAAGTTCGGGCAAAATCTTTCAAAGTTATAATTTTTGGTTGAAAGTGGCCTGATTTAGGTATTACTTGAAGTATAAATTTGCAAAGATAAGACACTTGCTGGAGAATTATTTACACGTCTGAAGTTTTAGTTTTGCGTTTTGCGATCGATTTTGAAGGCGTGTGGTTTTGCCTTGTGACTTGAGACCTGAGGTAATTAAAGTGTATTAAAGTAATTGCAGCTCTTGCTGTCGTCCAGCATCCCTTCAATATTTCCTGTAACTGGAAGATCGATGATTATTATTAGTGACAAATCTTCGAGGACCATCCTTCAATCGAGCACGTATGTTAAATTATCGCGCTGTAGCTAACGTATCGGTTTTTGTTCGCAGAACGCAGTTATCTGTGTACGGACAGCTGAAGTTCTTCGTCAACTTTCCATACTCTAGCTTTCAAAGCCTTCGTGAGCAAAAGTAAGTGCCACTGGTCATGATAAGCAGTATTGTAACATCGTAAAATGGTTTAGTAATTACGATTTACGGCACTTACAATACATGTTACAGTAACACAGTACTTTGTGATTCACGTGTTTTACCGTCTTGTTTTACCTAACTAGTTGTTGCAACGATGCCTCGTGCTCCCAAATCCGCTCCCCTGTCTCCCAAAAAGATGAAGTGAGTAATGTCTAATGCCTATGTTGTGTGCTTTTTTCTCTAATCGATGGCTGCAGATGTGCCTTCTCGTCAACAGCTTCGTAAAATCGGCTTCTTCACAGGTGGCTTGTAGCTACTCGCATCGACCGCGAAGATGAATTCCGCCACTGTACCAGTAAGGCGAAGTTCTGGTCAAAAGTTTTCCAGGAAATGCAGAGCGTTTTTAAAGATGCCCTGGATAACCGCACCAGTGAAAACCTGAAGATCTCCTACGAAAATGCGTGGAAGAAATATAAGATATGAAATTTTTTCTTGCGGCTTGTAAGCGTAATTATGTCGAATTTGTTCGTCTGTTCCAGTTCACACATGCCACCAGTAATTACGCTTTAACAGTAGATTTTACAATCTGATATATACATTGAGGATTTTTTGTGGTTACTTGCATGCAGAGAAAAAACGAAAAAATGTCACCGGAGAGAGCGGCGAAGTAAAATACCATTTGTTCGAACTATTTGACAAGACGTACGGAGACCGAGATGATATAGCTTTTGCCAATAATTCGGTAGTTTTAGGAAGCGGTTCTGCGAGTAATGCTTTGGAAGATATCGGTTGCGAGGACGGTGAAATTAACCTCAGGTAAACATATAAATATTCGATATTTTCATGTACTGTGATACTGCCTTGTAATCTGTTAAAGCCGACATGGTTAAAACAAAAACGTTGAATTGTTAATTTAGTGACGACGATACACCACAGGACACTCCTGTTGGATCTCCAGCAGGAAGCTCGGAAAAGGCAAAAAAGGCTAAAAAAAGTGAAAAGCGGAGCGCCGCTGGTGAGACTGTTAAACTCATGACGCGATCAGTGGCCATCATGGATGATATGCGAAGCTCCTTGACTGAGATGGTCAAACTTGAGAGAATGAAGGTTGAGCTACCAAAGTTGAAGTTTGAGCGTCAATATAATGTCGAAGTTGAGCTGGGAGTAGAGGAAGTTGTGGCGGTTTTAGAGGAAGGGTGAAATTTGTTAAAAGTGAAATGTGGTGAAACGGGAGTCACACGTTGTGAGATTATTGTAGTAAATCTGGAAAAATTCTGGTGTAGTTATTTTTGTTGTACTCTGGAAGTTACCGAAAACCTGCATTATGAATAAAGATCTCGTTTAATGACTTCATTGATGATGCCAATATTGAGTTTAAATTTGAAAATCATTTTTCAGCTGCAAAAATTTAAATGCACTAGAACTTGCAAAACGAAAAATACGAAAACATAATTTACTTGATAACACCGAACGTTCTCATAAATTCACACAAACTGCTGAGTTGTGGCAAATAAGGTGCTTAATAAACATTCGGACACATAAATTTTGTCAAAAAAGCACCAAAAAGCAGTAGCACGCAATTGCAACAAATAATAACAATCTGGCATAATCAACATTTTGTACAACAAAGTCAATATGAAGAGGTACACTTTAAAGACTTTTCAGAAAAAACTATCCCGACCGTCTAGCGATAAAACATCATGGGAAAGATCGCAATGTAACAAAAAAGCATCTGATCATGGTCAGCAGCCCGTTGACAACGTGAGCCTTACTGTCACTCAATCCGAATACCGACAGGAAATTCCATGATGAGAAAGCATCCGATGAAACGATCGCGGTTTCCGTTGCGCAGGTTCAAAGAAACCGAGGGAACAATCGCCAAGAAAGCCAGATGATGACAGTAAATAGACAGCTTACTGCGAAATGTATCTAGAAAATGGAGGAAACCCTGAAAATGAGAAAAATGGTGTACCGCTTAACCGAAAGTAGACCTGTTAAAAATTAAGAATCAATTACGATCCGAGCTGCAAACTTGACGAGGGGCTGATATATTGTCCGCTTCAGAGACAAACTGCTAGTATGTACGAGTAGAAAATAAATCGACGCATACGCTAATGCGAGTTAATTTCAATAAACTGCTCGATGGTGTAGAAAAATATCCGTAGAGGCATTTCAATATAATTTTATCATTACACTAAAATTCGTAAAACTAATACTCCGCTCACCGATTACTTATCCCAGCGAATCTGGCAGCATTCGCGCTACGAGTGCGTTTTTGAAGTCGCCAAACGTTCCTTCGTCAACACTATCGTCGTCGTCCGGATAATAGTCTTCAAAATCGTTGTCCATATTATCTCGAAATTCATCCGCGGACTGGATATCCAAATTATGAAAGAGACAGCAAACTATAATAATGTGTTTCATGGTGCACATGTCGTCATAATCCAAATACTTCAAAATTTTAAATCGCCGTTTCAAAACCCCGAACGCTCTTTCAACAACTTTTCGCAGACTTGACTGAATTTTGTTGAAATCTTCTTGTTTAGCAGATAGGCGGCCGTTCTCTCTGAACGGCGTTAGTACTTTTCGCGTCGCACGGTAACCGCCATCACCTACAAATTACAGCTACTGGTAATCCAGCACCTTGTAAAATTTGATTGACAGTACAGTACTCATAGAAAAATGAAGCTGTTATTAATAAAATACTTAATTAGACAATTATTTAGACAATTATTTAAATTAACAACAGTGTAGATTTAAGCAGTTACAGTACTCACATAAAAAAAACTGCTTACATACAAAACAGTAACTACGTATTTGTTAGCGCGTACGCTTATCCAGAATCATCCAGTTCTCTGGAATTAAGGCTTCCAGTCCCGAATTATCGAAAACATTCTGATCATGCACTCGTCCAGGAGCTCCCACGTACAGATGGATAAATTCCAATGAAGAATTCACGCAAGCCTGTACATTTAAAGACAGTTCTCCTTTCCTGTTGACATAACTTTCTGGGCGAAAGTGCGGCGCCTTAATATTAATGTGTGTTCCATCCACTGCACCCAGTATTTTAGGCATCCACTGAGCACCATAAAGCAGTCCCTTTTCTTCAAACTCACGGGCCGAACGCATCATGCCCCCTTCATCGGGAAACTTAATCAGCGACCAGTACTCAATCTTCATTGCATTCAAAAATATCCGAAAAGCACGACTAGCAGTTGAACGGGATAAACCATGGAGTTCACACTGAGACCGAACCGACGATCCATGTGCTAGCATATGAATGCAGACAGCTATTTTGCACTCTGTTGCATAAGGTTTTTTCGTCGTACTCCGTTCAAAATAAGTCCGTAATTTTTCCACAATTTCACGAAACACATCCGGATTAATGTGGTACGTCTCCAAGAACAATCGACCAGGATAACGGTTGTAGAGATTTTGTGCAGCAGAACGGATGTCTCGCCGATTAACGTTTGCATTATCCCCGCGAGACAGAAGTCCCTTTGCACTCAAGTTTTTAAGCCCCAAATAAGTTCTGAATCACACTACAAACGGACATGCGCTGGCGCCCACAGTGTTTGTAGTGCTTTAAACTTCGTCATCCGAAGAAATGGAATCATGCTCCATTTTAAAAATATTTTCATAAACACGAAAGAAAATGAAACCTCATTACAGTGATTACACGAAAAAGAGTTGTTATAAAATTTTTATAACAGAGATACCAGGAAAGCCACCTCT